AAAAAGAAAGAGCAATCATTTTAACAGAACACCATTGTCAACCAATGAAGGCTTTGAATCTAAAACTAGGCGAGTGAATAATTAAATTAGAACTGCCAAAAGGGCAGTTTGTGCTTGTTACGGCGATTTATTGAAATTTATGCCTGGAAGTCTTTCTAAATACTAGCAGCAATCAATGTTATGTTATTTGAAGCATTCATGCCCCATTGACATAGTATACCCTTTGCTTGTAAAGCATGGGAAACACTAAAATAATGAGACAACGAACAGACTTCAAGCATATCCACATCAAAGATCTTTGCTTTTGTTATTTTTACTCAAAAAAAAGTCCGCATACGTCACTTCAATTTGGTACAACAAGAGTAATTTTTCTATTATTTTTTTTCTTTTTCTTTTCCTTAGCCGTAATAGACAAACGGACAACAACATATTCAATTTGCGTAAAAGTGTGATGCAGCCGATCTTAAAAGCAGACGAACAGCAACCAACAAGTACGCAAACTAATGGATATGTTAAACAAGTGAACGGTACACCCAAATCAAAACTTAATCAAGAGAAAATCGTGTTGCCTGTTGAAATGGCAAGCATGATATCATTAAAAAGCTTGATTGGGAAACTTGTTCATAAATCATACGCAGATTTATTGACTTTAACGGATACGTACGGGAAAAAAAATAACATTAATGAGAATACAGTATTAATCATGGCTTTAGTTTACCATCCATGTCTGATGTGGAAAAGAAACGACAAATATTAAATTATACTACATTTGTTAGAAAACAATTCTTGAAATTGCTTGTACTTGTCAAATGGGCAGACTGTGCTGATGATATTCAAATGTGCCAGGTTCTTTTTCTTTTATTATTAAAACATCTTTGCAAAAGAAAACTAACATTCAAAATGAATAGAACATTATGGCCTTTTTGGCTAATCAAAACAAAATGTTTCAGGATACTGTCGACTATCTTCACAAAATACACATTGAATTACCAGCAGCCAGAGTCAGGAACTTTGACATACCTACGGCAGTTGATGTCTTAACAACTGGAACGTATCAACGCATGCCCACGAAACTGAAGGTTAGCACAAGACAGACCTCAGCAAGAGTTTTATATTGACATTTTATCGATAGGACATGATCCATCCTCCTCCTTTTACTGATGAAGAAGTGTTGGAAACGTTTCAGCAAATGAATGATACTATTCGTGTACGCATGTTGACAGAAGAAGTGCTACCATCGCCCATGCAAAAATACCGCATCGGTAATGAAAGTTTGTTTTATAATAACCATTAACTCACTGTCAACCTAGAAAATGGACGCATTTATTTTTCAATTGACAATGAATTTGAAGTGGCCTTGACCCTGATGGGACAAAGCCATGCTAGAAGATGGTGGATTGTATCTTTGGATATACTTGTTCAGGCATCTAGTTGTGAAGAGTCTGCATCTGGTAATAGAAAACAAGTCTAAAGTATATCCTTAATTAAAGGCTTTTTAGATCTTGATATATCTCTAAGTGATGCACAGAAACAGCATTTACGAATGAATGCTCAAAAACAACTCATACCACCTGCTACAGCTGAAGGAGAAGAAAACAAAGCAACCAAGTTGTTCTTCCCGCTAGTAAATCTATATGACTACCTGCACCTTTGCTGTCTCAACATGCAACTTGAAATGCTACATATTCAACTTCTCATGTTAGCAAAGACAAAGTGGTTAGATCAACTAAAGGTACAGATGGATTCAAGTAGAGCCAAACTCATCATCACCTATTGGGGAGGCGGATCACCTGCTGCCCATTGGGCTAGACCTCAGGTAAGTGATTAAAAAAGTGATGAGTGATATTTTATTAAACACGAGTATATAGCCTGAGAAAGAAGCGAGTAAGAGTACAGTATTGGAACTATCCGTGAGCGATGAGCATGAAAAGGAGTCAGCTAAGAAAAACATGGCAATCACAGTAAGAGATGAATCAAAAGGTCTGATACAGAAGGCAGGTATTGGTGCTTCTGTACGACTAGCAGAGACTGATCCTGCAGATAAGCCCAAGATTGTTTCGCTTCTTAAATACCCGAAGAATTGCCTAGACATCCTTTGGGGTGACTCGAAAGATTTACATACGAATGCTAAATTATTAGTAAGAGTTCTTGCTTATATAATGCACTATGTATTTAGAGTATCTATAGAATGCTTCTGATTTGAACGCTGAGGAGCTTTTGTTGCACGCTACGAAATATCACAGCCATTGTATTAAAGACAAACTTCGTCAGCTTCTGCAATCTCAGAAAGAATTCTTGGAAGACAATGGTCTTTACTTGTTAGAAAATCAAAAAGATAATGAGAACCCACTTGTTATCCGCTATAGACATGAAAAATATATTAGTATTGACATCGATTCACGTACAGGAAAAGTGAAAGCTTATGAAACTAAGAATGAATCAAATGAAGAAAATGGTAAAAAAAAAAAAAAAAAAAACAGATAATACATTTAGACTTATATGACTAACTCGTATCATAGTAAAATTAGCAGGGTTAGAAGATCGATTGAACAATGACCCTGAAAATATTGCCAAACATTTATTATGGTTACGATCCGACATTGTTATCCGTGAAATCATTTCGCTGGCAAAGCTGCTCAATTTGCAACCCTATCATCCTTCACAGATGAATCTCCGTGCAGAAGATTTTATCAAACTGTTTGGTGATGTGATTCCATCCAACAAGACTGAGAAGTACCCTTCACACTGTGTGTTTCTTCAGTTTTCCCAATTTGACAACTGGTACTTTGTTATTGCAACTATAAAAAACGAATTCAAGTCATGGTTATGCTGTTTAAAGTAAGTTAACAAACTTTGGTAACGACTATAACTCACATTTGCTGTAAAGTAAAATATATGATCAAAATAGCATATATCAAGCCGTTGCAGATTTGATATATATAGATTGTGATGAGCTACGGAGAAAGGAAGCAAAGAAAGCTGTAGGCAGCAGTAAGAGACAATTAGAAGATGATGTAGAAAAAGCAAGTAGTCAATGTGATAGTAAGAAAAGGAAACTGTCAAGGGACCTTTCCGTAGTAGTTCAGCATGACTATTCGGATAAATTTGACAGGTAATGAGATCTACTTTTATTTGACCATAGTGGCCTCATTTTTTTTTTTTTGCCTAGTTTAATTATGGACTTTCAATACTTGGCTCAGTTAGATTCACTATGTAGAGGATATATAACAAATAGAAAAATCGAGTTGCAACTTCAGATATACAAGGAAGCACTTCATTATCATAAGCGCCCACTATTAGACACTGTATTACCGGTTGAGACACAAGTGAAAAGTCACCCTGTATCGTACAAGATGGAAACCATCTGTTTACCACGACAAGACTTGCTTCGAGTATGTGCTTATTATTATCACCCAGGAGATGGAAAGAGAAAGGAGAAAAAGACAGAGACGATACCATGGATTGAGAAACTGCTGCCTCGTATGAAAAACGAAATTTTAGTTCGATCGTTTGGTTGGTGGAATTGCGGTAGAGGCGAATGCTATGTTGTTTTCCAAGATAGAATTGATTGTGAAAGGATAACTTTGCAAGAAGATGATATTGAAGATCATATTTCCTTAGACAAAGCCAATAACACGATTTCCTTCACCTATGCGAACATTGATAATTGCGTAGACCAGTTCTTGAATGACTGGGAAAGAATCTTTATGATGATTAACTTGAGCAGACAAGGTAAGTCTTTGTTTTTATAAGTTAGCTTACAACTAATGGTGAAATTTATCAGTCCACTCGGTTTGGTTTAACAAGTATAAGGATCAACTGACGTTCCAGTCAACCAATCTACAGAAATTACTATTTATTTATGCCAAACAGTACACTTGTACTATTCACTGGACGTCTTCGGCAAAGGGACGGTCAAGAAGATATGATATTGAGTTTGGAGTAGTAGGTGAACCAAGCAACAATAAATTCAATGTATTGTCAGCTTCAAGTAATCCGCATTGGAAGGTTCTAACACAACTAAGGGATATATTGAATGAGAAACGAGATTTAATATACTTTGTACAGGTAAGATTTGATTTAAAAAAAAATCTAGTATATGTCCTACTTTACAATATTGACGTTATAAAAAAGATTTTATTTCATACTCTGCCTGAACTTCTTGAATTCGTATGCTAAGATACATCAACATATATGTTCAAGTAGTCCGAGGGAGCATGGAAGTAAATAAGATAAAAAAATAAAAGAAGCTATTTATAAATACCAATGCTTGAAAAAATAAAACAATAATCATATACCCAACCCCTTTTCTTTTCTTTCTTTTTCTTTATATGAGAATTGAAATGCTTTGGCCAAGGGAAAGATGATGAATAATCAAAACTAAACAAGACGAACCTGTTGTTCGTGTGAATGTGTATGTGTAACAAACTGAACTATAAATGCAGTTGATCTGTTCTTTATTTTTTCCCCAATTTATACTTTTTTTCCATCATGTCTACCCCAATGTAAAATAAAGAAAAAGTTAAATTATCTACTCATTGACCTCTTATAGTACGAACACTGAGTCATCTAGTCAAGATACTCCAAGTGCACATACTCAAAGAACTGCCATCTTTCTTCGCTCTTCAAGAAAAATCATTTTGACAGGTTCAGAAACTGAAGAAGAGGCTAGGGCTGCTGAAAATGTACCCATCAGATTATCAAAACAAATAACCTTCAATGATGTACACACACAACGTGTTCATATGAAACAAAAACTAGCTGCTGGTTTTAGACTTCTTTCAAAGTTTGGATGGGATGAAGGTGTTGCTGGTCATATGACCCTCAGAGACCCTGAATATCCGGACCTCTTTTGGTAAAAAAAAAAATAATTCAAAACAAAAAAGACTGACGGACTGTTTCACAGGGTTAATGCCTTTGGCCAATATTTTGGACACATCAAGGCAAGTGACCTTGTTCTTGTTGACCATTCTGGTGCTATCGTAAGAGGGAACCGCACTGTAAACAAAGCAGCCTTTGTCATTCATGAAGCTGTGCATAAAGCTCGTTCGGATGTCACTTGTGCAGTTCACACGTAGGGATTTACAACGCATTATATTTCTTCAGTTTAATAACAATACTGTTTTAGACACTCTATGTATGGAAAAACATTTTCAACCTTTGGCAGAAAGCTCTTACCTATTTCACAAGATGCATGCGCATTCTACAATTCACATGGAGTCTATAATGACTTTGGTGGAATAGTCTATGATAAAGAAGAAGGACAACGTTTAGTCAATGCAATGGGTCCTACCAATAAGGCACTCATTCTTAAAAATCACGGCATATTAACTGTAGGAAAAACAGTAGACGAGGCTATCTGGTGGTTTATTTGTATGGAAAGGTGCTGTCAATCACAACTACTGGCTGAAGCTGCATCCCCTGATGGTTACAAAGGTCTATCTTTGATCTCTGACCAAGTCGCAGAACAGACAGCCAAAGTTCTAGGAGATAGCCTTTCAGGTTACGCTATGTTCCAACCAATGTATGACATGATTATCAGAGAACAACCAGACTGCTTGGAGTAAATTGCAGAGTTTACTTGTACACTTTATTAAATTTTGAATGAACAACGTACTCTATTTTTGCCTTCAACACAGTTTATTAAGGGAGAGAATCTATGGCTGCTATTTATGCACGATAATCAGATAGAGAAAAGAATGCATATGCCCTACCATATGTTTATAATCAAGTATTATAGATTCATTTCACCAAACACGTCAGTTGTCGTATTTGCCCCTGTCCAATGCTAATCTTTACGTGTGAGATTACTTTTGACTTAATTACATGTACCTTAGTATTCTGATCTCTTTTAAAACAACCTAATTTCTTTTTGCTATGAGCTCCTCCCCTCACTTCTAATAAAAGGATAAAAAAGAGACTCATCACTTCTTTGTTTTTATTCTATACACTACCGAGTACTAACAACAACTACTACTACTACAACTACAGTACTGAGAAAAAATCACGTGCTTATCACGTGAAAATAATTAAATATATTAATTTTAATACTCAAAAAAATATGAGCATCTTTGGTAGTATAGTGGTTAGTATCTCCGCCTGTCACGCGGAAGACCGGGGTTCAATTCCCCGCCAAAGAGATTCTTTTTAATATTCGTATTCGGATAAATAGAAATTCCGTTATCCGTATTTTTTTGCGTAAGCTGACATAATGAACGCTCATGCTATTGATACCCTTTTTGGTATCTTATACTCTGCATGTCCAATGCAAGTTTTAATGATTTATCATTTATCATTTATTATATATATTATATTGCATATTTAAACAGTGTAAGGAAAAAGCTCAAATATCTTTTGTTACGCCAATTACCGAAAATGGAAACACACCAAACGAACTTCAACTCATGAAATGAACTTCGATTCATCAAATGAAACTCAAATCGCCACATCACAAACAGTATAAATAACCTCTGGTTATTCCCCTTGTTCACTTTACTTTTATTTACTTTTTTTACTTTTCTATTTACTTTTTATTTTTACTTACTTTATTTTACTTTACTTTATTTTTTTATCAATAAACTTTATTCTGTGCTCAAAGTAAACCTCTGATACTATTATCTCAAGTAAATACAAGTCCCTTGAAGCAATTAAAACTTCATTGTATCTCTACAAGTTTATCACAAGAAATTATTATCTTGCAATCTTATCTGATCTTACAAGAAGATCTGGTGGTCACATAACGACATATTATCGACATATTCAACAACATATACAATTAACGACCCTTTAAATTAACTAAATCAACCCAAACTATAAACCAACCTATACACAAAACCAAAATTTACAACAGTATAAATATCCCCAAATTATTCATGAAATAAACAATATCGAAGAATCATCTAAGAATCATCTTATCTTCAGATCACAATAACCTCTATTATATCTTATATCTTGAGCAACAATTGCTTAATCACCTTTTTATTTTATTTTTCACTTTATCTCACAAGGCTTAGCATTATATTGCTCTATATTGATCTTATATTAAGATCTGGTAGTCACTACAATACCAAATTCTACTTATAAAACTTATTTTTAACCTTACTACTAACACTCAGTAACAATGTACATGAACTCATGTATTCCAATTTTTTTAAATTTATTTTTGTTATAAATACTTTGGTCCTTTGGACAAAATAAAAAAAAAAACAATCTAACACAATCTAATCCAACCCTACTTCAAGTATAACAAGTCTTTAATACTTGGGATTAAACCTTCTCTTTTTCTTTTATATTTCTTTATCTTCTTTATAATCCAGTACAATAAGTATATTAATACTTATAGAACTTTTGGATGTTTTCTTTTTATCTTTACATTTTGCTTATATTTTTATTTTGATATTATAAGAAAATCTGGTGGTCACTTGCGAACTAGATTCTTTATTTTTACTCTTTTTATACAATTTTCCTTTTTAGTTTAAGCCCAGCAAGACTTACTTTACACAGAAACCTTTTTTATCATTATATTTACATACAAACTTCCCCAAACCCAAAGAAATTACACTATTGTAATGAAGAAGATTCAGGAGGACATCTCTAGCAGCACCTTCAACAGGCATTATTCCTCAAGTATTGTGACCATTTGAATGAATCTAGCAACCGCATGGCACAAGACCTAAACGAAATTTTCGTATTGTAAATTTTGTAGTGAAGCACAATTTCCTTTTTCGAAACTTTAATTCGTCCAAATGCTTCCTCTCCAACTCCAAGGTCATCGACCTTGGTAGTCTTATTATGGATTTTTTTTTGTATAAATACCTTTGGTATTCTCTTCTTTCTTTTTTTTTTTTTTTTAAAAAAAAAAAAACAATTCAATAAATCCTCAAGTCTCTTGAATCAAAACTCTCTTTTGTACCTTTCCTTTTCTTATAAACTTCCTTTTATTTTCTTTACTTTTCTTATTTTGATCTAGCATTTAGATCTGGTGGTCACTAACTCGAACCAAGCTTTGATTTACTTTTAAAGCTTTTTATATCTTAACATCCTTCCAAGCCGATCAAGACTTACTTTACACAAAATCTCTTTTATATCTCTACTGGTAAAACTCTTAAACCCAAAGTCATACAAATTACAATAGGTCTTGAGTTTGAGTGTGTTGTAAAAGATAATAAAAATAGAAGTTTGTGTGTTCGTAGTCTTTGTAAGGCTTGAGGTTCGTATCAAAAGCGTTTAAAAGCTAAAGTTATAATAAAGGTTCGATGTGTGGCCACCAGATCGTGTGAAGTTGATCAGACTGAGTTGTACAGGGTAAAAAGAATAATAAAGAAGATAAAAAGGTTCCTGAATCCACTTGATTGAATTATTCAGAAGTTAATAAAAGATAAAAATATAAAGGAAAAGATTGTGATTCAAATCGTAGGTGATTTATTGAATGATTCGAGCTTTTAGCAAAAGCATTGCTCTTTTTATATTGTTAAAAATAAGGTTCAAACGTTAAATGGAGAAACCTTAATCTCGCGGTCCGAAAAGAATCAGTTTTGGTCATTAGTGCTACAGTATATTTGAAGTTTTTATATTTTTGAAAAGTCGATACTGTAAACGAAATTCAGGAGTTTACCCGTAGTAGCATTGGTAAACCTCACTATGAGGTTTAACACTGTCAATCCACATAATGCCATGACATAGTGTGCCTGCACTATATCAGTTGTGGTTTCAATGACACTCTCCCAATTATTTCTTAATATAAGTGGCCCAGTTACTTTGAATAGAGAATTATCGGTTTAATCAGATTAATCAATCTAGAGTATTATTCTCATTCCAATTATCCTACAAAGTCTTCTCTTATAAAGACATCTTTTTCATTTTTCTTTTATTTTACTTTTCGATCCATATTTATTATCTTTGATCTTGTATAATCAGGATCTGGTGGCCACTAACACGACATATAATACTCTTTTTTACTTATTAATCTCCCTGAGTTTATCCAAATAATGGTGTTCCAGAAGCCACTTTAGTTTATTTGCTATTTTTATCTACATTGGTACTATCTTGGTATCTCGTAACTACATACGCTATACAGATTTTTAACATTTAACATTTACTATTTTTAATACTTATTATCAATATCACTTTTTTAAATATTACCTTTCCTATATTTTTATCACCAATGTATTTAGTTTAAATACCTTATAAATGAAATAGATGAATCGATCAGTTCAGATAATAAAAATTTCTTTCATTTTAGCTAAAGCACTAATTGCTAAGCAGTTTGGTATTTTCAATTTGTTTTACTTTATCTTACAAGCCTTAGTATATTGTTCAATATTGATCTTAAGGCCTGATAATCGCTAACCTGTCAAATTATATTGGAAAGCTTATCTGTAAGCATGTATACCAATGCTTTTCCTATATTAAATATCTTGTAAAAAGTAGTATTTCTTTTTAAGCTTTTTTTTCAAATTTCATATTTCACTATGGGGAATTTTCCCCGAAATACTCAATGTCCAGTAACTAATCTCCATTGTTTTAAAAACTATAGAAACTCTTGTGGTTTGTTGTTCTGCGAAAAAATTAATCTATTCATATGTTAGCTTATTTAAAGAAATTCATTTTATTTCTCTTAAATTCGCTGATTTTACTACACTTTAACGTAAGGTGGCACTTTGTAGATCTGAAAGCTTGTTTTACCCTTCTCAACTCTTTACACATGTTTTATCTCCTACTTGTGCAATTTGATCACTTTTCTGATCCACAACAAAAATTGGCAGTAAATATTCGGCTCATCTTTATAAATCGAAGTATACAACATTATCAAATCGTACAGTTTTATTAGTTTTAGTAATAATGAAGCAACAATGAAGCAAATTTCGGAGTTAATTCGACTGAGCAACTCCAATCATCACTGCTCAACAATACGAATTGATATGGTGTAGAAAATTGATTCTGAAATAACAAAGGAAAAATATATAAATAGAAGGACGTTTGTCTCTCAAAAAAAATACTATTCGTTTATATAAAAATCCTTCTCTTATTCTTTGTATTTACTTATCTTTTTAGTTTATAAGAATTCTTTGTCTTTTCATGTATTTCAAGATTATTTGTTCATGAGTAGATATGCTATGATTTAAGCTTTATATATATTTTATTAAAATGACCTTATGCTTTCACTTTATTGCTTTCGAAAAAGTTGTTCAGATCCTTAATGAAGTATTGATCAAAACAATGGAAAATTATAAGAGAAGTGTAAGCTGATGAGCCTCTACATAACCTTCTTATTGTATGTTAAGATGAGAAAGAGCTCATTATTACAAATAGCGTCATTTTATATGAAGATAGAATTATTAAGGAACCGATTTAATTATGGCCAATAATAGTTGGGTATGTCGCGTTATATGTTAATAATGTATATTGTTGTCAGTATCTTTGTATTATTCATTCTTAGAGTATAGATTTATAGTAATCTCATACGACAAGATTAAGTATTTATAGGGTAAATACGACACTTAGATTTAAAAATCCATTAAAGCAAACAGTTCAAGAGTCTTGGTATTGCAAATTTTATTATTTAAATGATAAATGGAGCTCGAGTTTTTCAATGAAGTCACTGAAGTGGATAAAGATCATCGGTAAGTACCTTTTTTCGCCTAAAATAACAGGAAAAATCAGTATCTAAAATTACATTTTCTATAATGTAATTCAACAACTGGCTATGCTTTATTAAGATATCTAAATTGAAAAATTAATGCTTTTAACACTCTCTTATATTTTGTATATGGTATTGCGTATTTCGTCTGCTTTCTCTTATGCTTCGGAGCTTTCAGTATGTTAGCTATACACTTTTCAGTTCAGTAAAAACAGATTTTTTGCCTTTTTGCGCAATAAAAGGGCTCTTAATTAGTATTTTCTGATGATAACATATTTTAATTGTAATATATTTGCTCTAACATTTTTTTTATTACAGCCATTCTTATTAGTATAATTGACCATGGGCGTTGCTAATTCAAAAGCGTCAAAAACACTATATTCAATAACTAGTTAATGTTCTTACAGAACTAATTTGTATTGTAAAGGAAAAGTACTGTAGGCGCCTATGTAGACTAAGTTTTTTATCACCCACTTGCCGCTTTTAGTAAGCGATTAGAAAATCATGTAAATACCATAGAATAAATCAATCATAATCACATATATTTAACTGTAAATTTTAGAATTGCTCTTAATAATACTTCTTCATGCAGTGCCCAGTAAATTTATGCAAAACTAAAGTACCGGCTTTATATTATATTTCAAAGAGATAGTTGTCTCTTCCAATGTGCAAAAGCTATGTAGCTTTATAATTAGCTATTTATATAGCGTTATGTTTTTCCATTTTTGCTTTAAAAGGCGCACGAATATTTTGTAAAAAAAAGTATATTTGAAAGTAAAGAGCTTAAAGAGGATGGGGAATGTCCCAACACACGTAATAAATTGAATTGAATAATCTTCAACAAAGAATAATACTACTATTGCGTAACATTCTTTTATTCAATTAATTGCAAAAGTTGTTCATGTAACAGCATTGACTATGTCAGTTCTAGGATGTTATCTCTATCCAGTTACATAAGTTATCCGCTAATTAGCATAGTATAGCATTACAGTCTATTGCTTTGATTAGTATGGGATAGAAAGCGGAATATAGCCACAAGAAATACCAATATGCATATATATATTTGCTAAAAGCGTGGTTGTATTATCATCTTCTCCCTTTTGATACTTGAATTTCACTATATCCTCATTTAGAGCGCTTGTGCATCTGTATATTTCTTATTTCTTATTCAGAAGCGGTAGTAACTCTGTTCTGAGAGAACGCCAATATAGAGCGTGAGATATTTTTAAATAACAAGCACAGACAAAAAATGAAAAATAAAAATAATCCAAGACAAATGCATTTAAGGAGTTTTTAAACAGTTAAATAAATATATAAAGCATACCTATACTATAAGAAATCTTATGTAACGCTCTAGTAAGGAGATTGTATATAGGTGTACGTAGTGTTGCATAATCCATACATTTCATACAATTTCATACTTACAAGAATATGGGATTTAGCATATTGTTTCTGTTATTAATTTTTTTTATAAATTATGTAGAACAATTTAAATACAATAGATGTTTTATTTGATAGTTTATGCTTTATTTATATTAGATGCTTATAATTGAAAACAGCACTCCAATTTGTTTTACGTGTCTTTGTTCGTTTGGCATCATCCTAATAAGCAATCTAGCAGTCCACAATATGGCCCAATTGCTATCATTACGACCTTTGCTCGCATCATTTACCTTATAGCAATATACACTCTTTAATCTGCTTGAGTATACAGCCTTCAAAAAAAAAAAACTGAAGCTATTCAAAAATTACCATAACAATTTAACAGAAACAAAAAGTGTTTTCCAAGTATATTTCCGTATGGAAGAAGTTTTCTCTCATTCTGAAAGAATTTATATTTACATTTAGTAATTAATTATTAACATAATATCGGACGGTGGTTAATGAACAAAGACAAAAATTTACATCTTTTGTCTTTATATTCAAATTTTTTTAACCACCTTGTTTCTTCCTCTTTTGTTCATCCTGCGTCAAGTTCATGAGACCCTGATACTACTTTAAGAGGTTAAAGAAATCTGTTTGATTAAAGTAACAAAACAAGTTTAATATCTGAAGAGGCTTATAATGTGTTTTTTTTATGAAGCTCTTTGTTTGCTGATCTCTTTCATATCCTTGGACAAAAACATTTTATAATAAATGTTTTCATTCGACTAAGATGATATCGAACTTTCATCTTGTGTGATGAACGAGGCTTGAGTATTATTTTTTGAGGTATTATATGTAGCAATCCGACAAATGTAATGTATCTCATCACAATGAACAAGCAAACAAAACATGCCTTCCAGCTTTAATTTTATGCAAAAGCTTTGTTGCTGAAAGTGTATTTTATTCTTTAACTTCTGTAATGTTTTCATCTTCCACATCTTTATCAATATCTATATTATCTTCCTGGACATTTTCATCATCATCATTAAATATATCAAAGTCCTCATCGTATTCTTCAAGAGTATCCATAATGTCCAGATCAGAATCATCATCAGGTTCAAGGTACTTGGGTTTGCCTAAAAAGAGAAGAGTAAAAAAGTGAGTTATTGACAGTCTGACGGAGCATGGTATGGTTTGGTGTTTTACCATTATTCATCTTTTGCAGCCCTTCCATATATTCATCTACCATGTCTTTTAATCTCTTCGAAGAGTTTGGCTTTTTGGCTTCAGTCTGTGCTTCTGCAACCGCTTTCTCTGCAACTTCAAGCTCTTCATTTTTATCTTCTTTTAACTTTTCTTTTTCGATTTCTTCTAAAAGGCCGTTTTCAAGATCTGGCATGGGAAGTGGTTCATGCTTGTTGATTAGATGAGAATACTTGTCTCTTAGTGCTTTACGGATACGATCATATACACATTGATAATAAAAGCCTGTAGTAGCCTTTTTATATAGTTTAATTGCTCCTCTTTTTGTTATTTAGAAAACTATGTAAATAAAAACTTACGTTAGGTTCGGATCTCATATACTGCTTTTTATGGATTAAAGGGGTGATATCTGGATCAGTTACTTCCGAAAGCTGGTATTTGGAGGTTGGGCCAGGTACGGTTTTACCGTCAAAGTATTGTTTACCAGTCAGGTCAACTCTTTGTAATACATAAAATGGATAGATGGGTTAGTGTAACAACACCTACATGTATTTTTTTTTCTTACTCTTCCACTTGTGTCGCTTTTGGCTTATTCACGGCGGATCTTATGCCCTTATATCTATACACTTTTGCGTCTGAAACATGAAATGATCTAAAATCGAGAGTTTGATACCTATTCACACATGTATGAGCGTCTATCATCCAAAAGCCGTACTCTTTAACTTACACCGCGTATGCTTGATCCTTTCTCGGATCTATACCGTATTTTACAAATGCACCTCTCCAGGGTCCATTTGTAAATGTATAGCCATTCATTGCAAGCGCTCTATTGAAGTAAGTGAGCATACTCTGAACTATGTATAGTTTTTTGGCTAAATTACGTCGTGAGGTAATGGTGATATTGTGGTTCTATTATACATTTTATAGTATATCTATTCCAGATAGGTTTTTGTTTAAACAGTTCAGTCACAATATCTACAGCTCTCTTTGCTTGGGCATTGGGAGGTTCTTTGATAATCTGCCAACTCTTCATTGGAATATTTTCCGTATCATATCTAATAAAAGTAATCTCTAATGTTTTTCGGGTCTGACGATTGACCAGCTCAATTTTATACTTTAAAGTCATTAGTTTCTTTTCTGATAACCATAGATTCAACTTACAGAACCATCTGGCTGCTTAACCTTGACTCTGATAACTGGTAGATTTTGGCGGTAGCTATGATTTGATGGCATAATTAGATCCTATCATTGTAAGAATATAAGTATATGTATACTTGTATTCAAATGCAGCTTGTCTGGCAGTAAACACAGGTGGCGGGATATTACGAAAGTCTTCAATATTATCATCATCCTTCGCAGGCTCATAATCCATTATGTTTTGTACTATAAACCCCTCTATTTCAGTAAAACAATTTAAAAGCTTGAATTGTTATATACCATTTCCAGTTGCTAATGACTGCGTAAGTTTTCGAATACGATCTGTGTTTGGTACGATATGTTGTAGATCGGCCAATGCTAAAAAGGGGTTAATTCAAGAATTCTATACTTACAGCAGAATCTATACCTCTGAAACGAACACTGTGTGTCACACTGCCAACGATCTCTGTTCGCCAATCATCGTCAGTTTCTTCAACTTGTCCTGTTTTCTTGTTCCTTTTAACACGTCGAGTGACTTTTGCTAGTAGTTTGGAAGTAGGTATAATATCGCCGTGGATCGGATGTGAAAATGGATCTCCTGGTCTGAATCGTAGATTGACTTGTGTTTTATTTGCCAAGGATTGTGCTAATGCTTTTTCGCCACCAAGTGTTTTGATTGCACGTTTGGTTCGTTTGACTATTCCTGGGTATTCAATATCGAGAAACTTTTTGTCCCCGATGGGGATCAATGGACTTGGTTCGTAATCTGGCATTGTGTTAAAAAAGTAAAAAATAAAAATTTGTTCACTTTTATCGTTATTTGCATATGTTTGTACAGAAAAAAAAAAAAGAGGCAAAGTTATCTTTCCAAAGTGCCAGGCATGCAAGGTGGTATGTCATCCTCTGTTTTGGATATATGTATAATGTATTATCCATCCATGAGAGGATATAGTAATGTTTAATAGTATGGGAATTTGATTGGCTCAATGGGACTTTGTCTTTTTTTCCTACATAAACAGTAAGGCGGGTTTTCTATTTCTTTTTCTTTTATCTAACAAATAAACATGTCAGATAACGAAGAAAGACAATTACTATTACCAACAGAGACAACGATAACGACATATACAACAGAGGATAGAGAAGGGCAGATACCAATAGTTACACAGCAAAAGGAGAAAAAAGTATGGATATGGACAAGCAAGTCATATGTATGGTCATTGGCTACACTTGTTTTATTATTTGTTGTTTTTAGTGGTTTAGAATATGCATTGTTCAAGTTAAATATACCTTCAGTCAACCCGTAAGATATGATCTTCGACAATGATGAAAAACGTTTAATATAATGCATAATAGTGAAGATAGAGACGATATCAAATTTCCTAGAAATTTAGAACAATTACGTCGATTGAATGAAATATTGTCTACTTATATGGATGAACATTTTATCAATATATACATTACATTCTCTATTACATATATATAGTAATGTTATTATTATTATTGTTGCTATGGTTATGTCATGGTAATTAAATTATATTTATTAGTTTACAGAGTTTCTCTATACCAGGTTCCATGTGGTTATCTATTCTCGGTGGTGCATTGTTCAATTTCTGGCTTACATTGTTTACTGTTTCCTTGGTAATAATAATTGGAGGTGTTGTATGTGATAGAATTAACTTTTTGAATAATAGTGCTCAGCTATTGGTTCATCTGTAGCCTATATTATTTCAGGGAGCCTTGGTTCTTTGGCTGTCATGAGGTTGATTGGTGATAGAATTGCTAAATGGAATCAACAGGTAAAAGAAGATAAAAATACATGGATATGATACTCATAAGCATGTGTAGTTAATTCATCATAAACAGCATATGCTGAATTATATTATCGTCTTGAGAATATCTCCATTGCCTCCCAATTGGCTTGTGAATCTGGGTTCACCTCATCTTTCTGTACCTTTCACATCCTTCTTTTGGGGAACATTCATTGGGGTTGCAGCGCCCTCGTTTATTCACGTTCAAGCAGGGGCAGCATTGGATAGACTTTCTTCATCTGATCAACTAGAATTATTGACTCCTATTAACATCTTATGTTTAATTGCCGTAGCTGTAGTTGCCTTGTTGCCTGTCTTTATTAGGAAACGATTTAATTATGATAACGCATAAAAATTAAATGATATTTCTTGCTACAGAGTATGCCAAAAATGGTAGTTGATGAGTTTATTCATCTCATTGGATAGTCTAAATCTATAGTCACAGTCCTTCTTTCTCTCGTTTTCTTTGCTTTTTTTATTGTAAATACATCTTTAAATATAAAATGGATCAAGAAGCACAGAAAAGAAAAGAACGCCTTGCAGAACTTAGAAAGAGAAAGTTGGAAGCATCAAGCCAAGACGATAGATCAGTCGATAATGCCGAAAAGTAGTAGCAATTTAGCTTGCGTCATTAAGAACACTTGTATTTATTTTTTTTTCTATTAGAGCCTTAAAGTTCAGAAGTTATGTTCCACTTGACGAGAAATTAAAAGAACATGTTGAAATTGCGACTCCTAATGACATTGGAGAGACTATTGAATCAGAAACTAAGCATCTTACAAAAGAAACGTTGGCAGAACATGCTGAAAAAGAAAAAGAAGAAGTGGATCTGTTTAATCTAGCGCCCAAGAAGCCAAACTGGGATTTAAAACGTGATGTAGAAAAGAAGTTGCAGAGATTAGAAAGAAAGACACAAAAGGCAATTTATGAAATTATACGAAAGAGATTAGAACAAGACAAGGATTCTTTTGCTCAAGTGATGACCAATGTTTAAAATAGTAATAAAAGGGAAGAATGTGTTTATTTGTATTTTTCTATGTTTATATTACACTTTGCTTGCAACACAACGTTCAGATAGTAATTTTATACTATTTCTTTCATGAGCAGCTTGTCTACAACTTGTCAGGTTTTCACAGCGATGATCTTCAGGTAAACGATGACGTGCACAGAATTTGGATTGACAATATCTACAATCACCAATGATCTTTACCGGTTTATCAGAACAAGATTCGAAGGCGCATCTAGTTTTCTTTTTCTTTTTTTGTTCTTCATTATTTTCACCACGTAGACTTAGGAGAAGATCTATAATAGATTCACTTTGGATGTTATATTCATTCAGAGTATGACCATTTTCGAGTTGTTTGCCAGCAAAGATTAAACGTTGTTGATTTGGCGGAATGTCTTCCTTTTCTTGAATTTTGCTTTTCACAATATCAACGGTATCAGATGAGTTGACTTCTAACAAAACTGCCGTTCCAGCAAGTGTCTTGACAAATATTTGCATACCACCACGGAGACGAAGGACCAAGTGAAGAGTAGATTCCTTTTGAATGTTATAGTCGCTTAGGGTACGACCATCTTCGAGTTGTTTACCAGCAAAGATGAGACGTTGTTGATCAGGAGGAATACCTTCCTTGTCTTGAATCTTTTGTTTTACATTGTCGATAGTGTCAGAAGATTCGACTTCTAAAGTAATTGTCTTTCCAGTAAGTGTCTTGACAAAGATTTGCATGATATATTTATAAAAATAAGAGAAAAGTAGAAAAGTAAAATAAAGAAAAAGAGAAACAAATGAATGAAAAAGAGAAGCTCCTTTTATACATAAAGATGATTAATGATGTAACCAATCAGAAGGACAAGAACTAGAAACATTTCCTAATTTATTAGAAGGTGCTGGAATCAGGCAGAAATCTTACAACTTTACGTATTTCCATTGGTTTTTGGACAAAAATAGAAGTCGAAAATGGAAATGATATCATTCATTTAAACTACAGTGTTTTTTTTATTTGAGATTGAGACCCATTTGCTTCCTTTTAAGCCAATCAAATTTGACCTTTAATGTTCCTATTTTTTATAGTGTTAAAGGAGTGTGTATAGGCTTAAGTGGACGAGAGTTATAAAATCAAAAGTTAAAAACAGCACGAGCTTTATTGAAAAGTAATTCTTACCGAATATTAAAGTAAAGGAAGAGATTAAAGAAATAAAATCAGTATTGAGAAGATAATGAAAGTTTGTTTAAACAAGAGTTTACATAATCCAAAAATGCCAATTGCTAAAGCAGAGAGAGAGAGAAAGCCTCTAGATTTGGATGCTTTGTTGGCATAGGAGATCCTTTACTCTTGAAACTGACTTGTTTGTCTTTATCATCTTTTCTTTGTATAGGATCGTCAGGTTTTGAAAAACAATACAGGCAGATTTGCGAGATCATATACTCTTTAGTTATGCACACGTTTATGTGTTTTCCCTAAATTCTTTGCTTCCATTTTCTACCATATCTAAGAAATCCTTTATCCTTGAACCAACACCAATTCCTTCATCTTCTATGAGCTTCTTTGGATTATTATGGGTTTTAATTGAGATATTCCTATTTTGATCAACTATGAAACGTCATTCTGAAGTGCAAAGACTTCATAGGAATTTTCTATTCTAGATCAGCTTCGTTCTCTCTTCTTTAACTCTTTTGTTGGAGTAATAGAATTTTCGAAGGGCGTCACGAGTCGCGTACTGCTGTGAAAGAAGTTGTTTTATCTCTTCAACATCAACAACGTGATTCATACTGAACTTGGATAGATTATTTGATGTAGAATATGAATTATAGTATCATCATAATTACACCCAAGTGATCTTGGTTGATGATTCAGAGCAGCTACAGTGTAATTGTCTCTGGTTTTGAATAAAATGCGAAAAAGTGTTTAAAGACTTTTTTAAAAGATCAATTGTTTTGGACCAAGGTATTGTCCACGAATATATCTGTGCGTGTAACCAGAGCTATACCAAAAGCACTGGCTTTGAGAACAGAGGCACCAGCGGATTTACCAACATATGTCATAATTGGCGGATGTGCTTCGAAATTAGTTCTGCGCCAATAGCTTCGTTCAAGTTGAGTAGTGAATGAAAGAGGTAGCTGATAGTGATGCCGGGTTTCACAGGATATCGTGAATGGCATGCGGACGAAGTGATACATGAGCAATGTATCACATAAGCGTGTGCCGGGCAAAGGAGAGCGTCTTGATGGGAATACATAGTAATTGTCTTGATGTTGCGAGAGACCTTCGCCATTGCGCGTAAGTAACACTGGCGTCGGGTTGTAGAACAAGTGGGAACAAGCAAACCAAACCCAAAGAGAATGAAACAGTGGATCTCAAGCGTTTGGTGACAGATTTCAGGATAGTCTTGTCCATTTCGGATTCTTTTCAGTAAATGAAGCTCGTCGTCTTTTACCAAGTGAATTTGCTACAAGAGCAGAAGAATGGACGATCAACTGTGATACAATCGAAATAATATCCAAAAAAATGAATACGGATGATGTCGATGAATTTCTGTATAACCTTTATTGTCGGTTAAAACGAGAGAGCTCATTATCCACAGGATTGTAACGTGCAGCGAAACTGCATCGCTTTTCAAACACAACAGTCTAAAAACTATGATTGTAGCTGTGTAGTGCACTTTTTCTTTTTTTTACTACGACTTCTTATCTGAGATGTGGAGGAGCTGTTTTTTTTACTGTGTCAACTACAACAAAAGACGACAAGTAAATTTGCCAAATAAGTCATTTTTTTTAAAATGCGACGTTTTAATGATGACAAATATTGACGGAAAATTGTATTGTTTAAGCGATCAATTCAACAACTACGGAAATTATTAATATTAGTAACCATAACAACCAATCCACCAATCAACACTTACCACCGCCGGCTTCCTTGATCTTCTTTTCAGCAAGGGCAGAAACATAACGAGTGCGGACAATGACAGGTTGGCTGATAGTACCCTTAGCCAAAACCTTAGCATAACCCTATTATTATTGACATGAGTATATGTACATCTAATATGATTATACAAATCTTACATGTTGAAGAGTATCAATGACAGGAACCTTTTCAGTGTTCTTGTACTTTTCACGAACACCTTCACCAGCAAGAGTCCAGATTTTGTCAAGGTTGATGACAGGACGCCAGAGAGGGTTCTTCTTCAAGTGGAAGTGACGCATACCGACCTTACCAAAGTAACCAGGATGGTATTTGTCCATATTGGTACGGTGATGGTGTTGACCACCAGCAAGACCACGACCACCAGGATGCTTTCTGTGCTTTCCAACACGACCGTGACCGGCTGAGACGTGTCCACGCTTCTTTCTGTTATGGTGAAGTCTGGTAGGCTATATCAAATTCTTTTATTAATGAATCCACTCAATGACTGTGTGTGCGTAGTTTATGCATCAAAGAAAGAAGAAAAAAGGAATGGCTGGTTGAATGAAGAAGGAGAGAGGGGAAAGCGGAATGTCCAATTGTGTCTATTTTTATAATAATCCATGTATCCAATATATTTCCATCTATTCATCCGTTCCACTTTACAATATCCATCCGTTCCTCTTTCGGCAACATCCATCCATCATCCTTTATACTTTTTCTTGTTCTCTTTTCTCTGCATAAACTAGGTTGATTCACTCACCATTTCAGGAGAGTGGAAAAGAGGAAGCGACTGATCTTGCCTGTGTTGTGTACAGTCAGTCTGGGAAAAGACGAGCGGCTTTTGAATTAATTATTTCTTCATTGTCTCAGTGATGAGCTCGATAAGACAATTGTTCTTCTCAGATGTTTGATATTTAACGAAAGAGTGAATAAAAGAAAAACGTATTATCAATTTATTACAATTGTAACTGCTCAAGGAGGAGTGCCCACTTCTTTACAAGCTCAATTCACAGGTTATTTTAATTCACTGGACGATCAATGATAAATCAATATCCAGTCTTTCCTTACAAGCGTGTTTATATCGCTGGAAGTGTGAGATCATGGCATCTGTTTGATGTGTCTGAATAGCAAAAGTTGTAAGAGCTACTTGTGTCGTCTTCCGATCATGAAGGTAAATGACAGTTTTCATTGTAGGTACTTCCTGTTCTGAAGAAGGTAAATGACCAGGATAATCTAAAATCTCTGCCATTCTTTCCTCAGGTACAGTTGTATCATGGTCAAATGTTGCGATGATACCTTGATGGTCTTTGTGATAAATCAATAAAGCACCCTGAAGGTCAGATTCAGGAGTCTTGACTTGATTTGATATAATAAAGTAGTCTAATGTTTTTTTCTCGAGTGAATGAAGCGCTGGAACGATAACCTGTTCACAGTAAAGTCTAGTCACTTGTATATCTCTAAATTCGACCAGTGTACATGGTTTAAGTTCTAGTAGTGTAAATCCAAATTCTCCGTATAAAAGCATATCCTCTGGTGATAACTCTCCATCAAATGTGACGTATTTTATCATGTCTTTGTCCAGTTTGCTCCAAAACTGTTTCTCTAATAAATAAAAGTAGTTGAAGGCTTGCTGAACATTCATTTTTTAAAACAAGAAAGAAATAAAAAGAAGATATAGAGTGTATAGTACTTTTGCATAATGAGGCTTTTACTGTGACTACTTCATTCGCATCTCCGTATTGAAGCAAGCAAGACGGGAATAAGGTTAAAGCATGTTGTTAAGTCAATTTTTTTTTTTTTGTTTTGCATAGATCTTGTCATCATACATCTTGTGTCTGCATAAGAAGTTTCTCTTTTGACATAATTCATTCAAAGAGTAATAGTTTCAGCTTGCTATCGGTAGCTGAGTTAACAAAAATTCTCTCTCTTTGTCTTTCTGTCTCTGGTCTTTTGTTTCGTAACCTGTGATTGATTTTGGACCTATTTTTCCTGCCTTATATTTTCTTTTAAAAACCAGCTTTCTTTTTTCTTTTTTTTCCTTTTTTTCTTTTTTTACTGCTGCAGCTTTGTTATGCGGTTGCGAGTTAATTTAGAACGACAGCAATGAGACCGACATCAGTATCTTCTACTTCAAATTCCTCCATGTCATCTGCTTTTTCAGATTATAGCTCAGACGACAACATCAATAACGCAAGCGCCAATTCTTCTCAACAGTTCTTTGCCAAGCTTGTCAGAGACACACGTTCAAAAGTGGGACAGAAGACATCCGAAATAAATGCGACTATGCAAGAGAAACTTCCAGAATGGAAATCCAGAAGTGTCATGTATTCAAATAAAGCAAAAGAAGCTAGTATCGAGTGGGGTAGAAAAGGAAAAGAAGCGGTTGATCGATGGAAGAAAGAACGCTTAGGTAAATACGTTTTTATTTTCTTTTCTTTTTTATTCATGTATAATATAGAAGCGCAATCTTCATCTTCAATTACTTCATATCGTCCTATGCAACAATCAACTGAAAATTCAATATTTGGAATGCCACTTGAGTTAGCTGTCGCATTAACCAAGATACACAATGATGATTTAGTGCCCGGCATATTTAGAAAGTGTATAGATTACCTTAATCATGTTGGTAACGTATATCTTTATTATTATCATTATCATTATTTAAAATTAGTCAATACTTTTCATAGGCATACACGAAACGGGTATTTATAGGTAAAAACTATCATTTATGTTGAAGTAGACTAGGCTAATATAGTCAAACAGAATCTCTGGGAGTACTCTTGCTGTGAATAAGTTAAGAGACGAGTTTAATGAAGGTAATATAAAAAAGAGAGAGCATATATAAATACTTTGCTTATTCGATATGTTTTATAGGCATCAATGTTAACTTTGAAGAAACTTGTCCAGACCCTCATGTTGTAGGGACATTATTAAAGTTATATCTAAGAGAACGTAAATACAAAAGATAGTACTTGGAACTTAAACTTACCTTTCTTATTCTAGTTCCTGAACCTATTATTCCACCTGATTATACTCTGCAATTTACAGCTATTTTAAAAGACGAAGAGCCACTACCTCAAATACTCAAGGCAATCCAGTCCATTCTATCCAAACTCTCCATCTATAACTTTTGCATTCTGCAGCTTCTATGTCAGCATTTAAAAAGAGTAGCCGATAATGAAAAAGACACGAAAATGTCTGTGTCTAATCTAGTTTTGATCTTTATTCCAACCTTAAATATCGACAGAACACTATTTCAGTACATGATTGAACATTATCACGAATTATTTGAAAATGGAAACGGAAAAAAGCCGGCTGGCCCGGCTAATGTCCCTCCGCCGTTACCACAGAAACCACGTAACCTGCTGATCGATATGAAATCTATGACGACAGGAACGCCCAAAAAGGTTGCTCATACAAAGACAATGTCAGATACAGACATGTATATCCACACCATAAAAAATAATCTTAGCAAGGTTCCTCCTCCAAAACCTAGCCGATCTCCGGCTTCTGCTTCAAATCAAAACAGTCGTCAACCGCCTCCATTGCCGCCTTCTAAACCACGATCCAAGTCAGTGTCATCACCCATTAGAAGAGACAATACCATCCTTTCATCCACTCCACCTGTGCAAACCCATTTTGCAGATACCATCTGGATGCAAAGGGGCCGTGTAGAGGCAATCGGAAAACAGTTTGAGACGCTTATAAACAAGTCACAAACAATCCCTTACAGCCGTAAAAACAGTCGAACATTTGAAGGCAAAATAAATTAGCAAACTTTCTTTGTTTTCCTCTCGTTTTTTCTCTTTTTTACTGTGAAAATAAAACGTTCCATCGGGAATTATCACTTGGGCGCATCGCTCTCCTCAAATGCTTTTATAAGTGCTCTTTTCTCTTTCATTCTAATTTAGAGCACAATTAAGGCAAAGCACTCAACAGGAGTATTTTAAGAATAATGCTTTGAAAGCACCCAAATTATTCAACACTTTTAAAAATGCTTAAAAGACATCTTGATCTTTAAAGGTTAAACTAATTGGTCTGTTTGAATTACTTACTTTCTATCCATTTGCTTTATTTGTTTGACATCCTTCTTCATAGATGCTACAGACACTCTCAGAACAAGTGCATTAAATACCGGTTTTTAACCTAAATTGAGACGATTAGAAAAATTGAACTGGTCAGTTTACAATTTTATGTTGATTGATATCATTGCAGACTCCTAAACAAGACTTGATTATATTATTAGACATTCTTAAGAGATTATTGCAGAGTCTTCGGTATATCCTGCGGAGCACTGTTTTGTCATAGTGTATAATATTTATTGGAGGCATCTAATATAGTCATTGAAAGAGGATATATACTTCTATTCCTCATCGATTACAATATAAAATGCGATATATCTTTTTTTTTTTTTGATAAATTGATAATGTCTTAAATAATGTCTTAAAATTTAGTGGTCTCCGTCCTGGTAAAGTATTTTTTACGACAATGTTGCCAATGTAAATAATAGTTTACTTCTTCTTTTTACCATCCACATTTTAAGAAGCTGTGAGTACTTCAGAAGAAGAGCCTGAAGAAGTAAATCCAAGAATAGAGATGTTATTACTAAAGTATTTTGTGCCTAACAGCTTCTTTTTATATATTAGTGTACAAAACGCGTCCTGGTAGTAAAAACGAGTATTAAAGACATTTGGAAACCAGAGTTCATAAAGTCATTGTACGAACTCATAAATGTCACTAATAAAATAGTGACACATATGTACCTATTTTCGAAGTTTATCTTTACAAATGAAATGGAACAAGTCAGTGAATTTGACTTGAACAACTATGCTGTCAAGGGCCTCTTTGTTGAAGCATTTTATCTCTTGTTCAAAGCTCAGTGCACTTGTCATACTGTATAGACAATTGATAGCCAAGTACAAAGATATATGTTGCCAAGCGCCAATTATACACCGCCCAAACTTGTGCATGCTCAACGAATGACCTTGTATGAATGCACCAAAATGCACACAGCTTATTTTAATAATATCAAAGCACAATTTGGTAACAAACTTCGGATGTCTTTGAACGGTATATGCAAAAAAAAGAAGAGTCTAACCGCCTTCGCAAGAAAATGACTGAAGAACGATACGCCGACTACGCCATCCAAGAGACTATCAAGAGAACAGTTACGCTGCCTTGTATGAAAGTCAAACTTGTAGTTGCAAAGAAGAAAATACCAAATTATGAGTTTTTGAATGCTGATGCCAAGGATCAAATCAAAGAACTGCTTTCAATGTATTCTACCGAGTATAATTTTCAAAAAGCTTCCATATATTATGACGTAAAGGCGAGTTCAGAAAACACTTTAAAGCTTTCTATAAGCTCACTGAATTATACCAAGCAAATCAAATTAAATAATATCAATACTATCCTTTACGAAGCTCGTTCATCCCTGGATACATGACCTTAGACGCAATTATAGTAAACAATCACATTCTAAAATACAAGAACAAGAAAGAAAATAAGTTCACTATCTGGGGCAAAATTATTAATTTAGAAAAGAAGGCTATGAAGAACCAAGGTATAGGGAAGATTCTACAGTTTGAAAGCACCACTGAAACAGATGGAATTGATGCCTCCGTTATTAAGCAAAACTTTGATACATCTCGGAAAAGACCAGGAACAGACAACAATAGATCGCAGAAACCAGAAGAGAAAAAAATCGAGGATGATAATAATGCTAAGCATATCGAAACATTAACTCGAACCGAACTTCTTTCAACAAACGGAAGATGCGTTTTGATAGACTCAAACCGCCGGGATTTACTTTATTGTATGAAAGGAACAATCTCGGCGGAAAATAAGCAAATATTAAGATTCACAAGCATTTGTAGATCAAAGCAATCACGACGTTCAGAATACTAAGGAAGAAGACAAAGCCTTAAAAAGCTCGTTTAGCTTAGGAGATGCTAAGTAAAACAAGATCATCAGCAATGAATGCCAGCATATTCCTAGAGTATATTAAAGTAAGGCCAGCCTTTGAGAGTGTCTTAAGCAATTACTATAGCCATGAAGCAAAAGAATCAAGAGAAATATATTATCCAGATCTAAGAAATGATTTCGAATTCAAGAAATGCAATTTATACTGAGGAAAATTGTTTATTGCAAGATCTCATGCATTTTTCCCTAAAAGCATTGCCATACAAGACAACAATACCAAGCTACAAACATATGCTATCAATATTCAAATCATGTTACATCAACGGCATATCGAATGACGGATTCCCACAGAGAACAAAAATAAACTTCTTTCTATAGCAGATAAGATTTTGGAACGGTGTCACAGTTCTCAAGGCCCCAGTGATGAAGAGTTAGAAGATAAGCTTGATAAATTCAAAAAAGACACAAAATCTTTATTACAGACACTACAATTATTGCCGCTCAGAAAGATGCGCTTTTCAAGCAAGTTGCTCCCTCAACAAAATGATGATAAACTAATCAAAAGTCTAAAAAAGAAGTCTGGACACGACGCTGTCCTTGTTCTCGGAGATTGGTTTGCTGCGAATGTGAAATTCCATGAGCCCATCCGAAATAAGGGGCTTATTCAAATGTTGAAGAAGAGCGGTTTTGATTTGTACTTGATAAACGAATACAAAACCTCATCGCTATGTCCTGACTGTGAAAGAAAATTAGAAAAATTCAAGATAGTTGACAGCTCTGGGCCATATAGACGAAAAGACGTGTCAAAAGTTAAGTGCAATGGGTTGCTGAGGTGCAAAGATCACTCACCAAACAAATTATGGAACCGTGATCTGGCAGCGGTGTGTAACTTCAGAAAGATTTTGATGAGTCTCAGAGAGACTGGGGAACGTGCAAGTTGCTTTAGACAATCACAGCCATTCACAAAGCCAAGTCACAAGCGAAAACAAGGCTAAAATCCATCAGCAAACAAGAGAACAAAGTTGTCCGCTTAAGCAATTTAATGCAGGTAAATATTTTTTGGCTCTTGTTTCTTTTTTTGTTGCATGTTTCAAATCTTTTAGAGATTATTCAACATAAAATTGTAAACTGTCCAGTTCAATTTTTCTAATCGTCTCAATTTAGGTTAAAAACCTGCACATTTGGAAAGCTGACATCGGACTTTCATCCGGAGCTTAGATACCTTTTTTGGGATATTGAGATCTGTCCGCTAAAGACAATTAGTCGTGCAGTCTCAGCGAATGGGTAAATCCTCCTCTTTTAAACTTTAGGTTCGACCCTACAGCTACCATGAAGGTAAAGGGCAAACTTGGCAGAAAATAGAGAAGAAAGAGAGTATGCAAATTAATGGATGCGGATTACAATTTGGATGGATGGATGGATACGTGAATGATGCAAAAAGATTTTTCTAAAGAGAGACACAGATGAGTTGATGATGGACACATTGACAGACAATGAGATACATGCACACATACACATATACCTGAACGAATCATGTAGACATCATTAACAACCTACCACAACTTTTATAATCAACCAATCTGTAAATGCTCGACAATTGCTCTTTTTCTTCTCTATTTTCTTTGCTTTGGAATGCAATACATGTTGGAATGCGTTGTGTACTGACAACATACATTAGCTTAACATTGCGAACCCAGCCACCGGCTGCCAGAAATTGATCGAAATCGAAGATGAACGTCGTCTGTAAGTTTCTTTTTTTTTTTTTTTTGTAAAGGTTGAATGTTTGTCAGTACTCAACAGCTTTTAGCCGTGGTTTCTATGATAAGCGTATGGCACAAGAAGTTTCCGGTGATGCTCTCGGTGACGAATTCAAAGGCTATGTTTTCCGTATCACTGGTGGTAACGACAAGCAAGGTTTCCCCATGAAGCAAGGTGTCCTTTTGCCCCACCGTGTCAAGCTCTTGATGTCCAAGGGCCACTCTTGCTACCGTCCTCGCCGTACCGGTGAGCGCAAGAGAAAGTCTGTCCGTGGTTGCATCGTCGGTCCTGATCTTTCTGTCTTGTCTCTTGTCGTCGTCAAGCAAGGTGAACAAGACATTCCTGGTTTGACTGATACCACTGTTCCCAAGCGTCTTGGCCCCAAGCGTGCTTCCAAGATCAGAAAGTTCTTCGTACGTATTAGTATTATTGTTAAATGAATCATTATGCTTACTTTAATAATAGAACTTGTCCAAGGAGGATGATGTTCGCAAGTATGTTATCCGCCGTGAAGTCCAACCCAAGGCTGAAGGCAAGAAAGCTTACACCAAGGCCCCTAAGATCCAACGTCTTGTCACTCCCCGTACTCTTCAACACAAGAGACGTAGACAAGCCATTAAGCGCAGAAGAGCCGAATCTTCTCGTGAAGCTGAAGCTGAATACAAGCAATTGCTTGCCAAGCGTGTCAAGGAAGCCAAGGAAAAGAAGATTGAGCGTCGTCGTACTTCTTCCATCCAAAAGTCTGCCTCTGCTTAATTCCTCTTTTAAAATAAAATAATTTGGAATTAGATCAATATAATAGCAATTTATATTGCTGTGTAGTATTCAAACACTTAAAGAATACCCTATCGTTTTATTTCTCGCTTGTACAGTGTCTTCGAAAAAGTTTTAGGTTTTTTTTTTTTTTTTTTCTTGAAAGATGGTCGATGAATAAGACGACACTTTTCTCTTATATTTTTCTCTTATAAACACATAAAATACCTCATTTAACTTTGTCTCAAAAAGAAAAAATTGTTACCAGACGCTGCGATGGTATCTCGGTAGCACAGATTGCCATTGAGGAAAGCATTCCAGAAAGAACTATACGTCGAGTTTACCAATAATGAAAGGACAATGAAACTGTAGAGACGAAGCCCAGGTCTAGAGACCTCCTAACTTCAACGATAGTAAAAGAAGAGAGCTAGGAAGCATCGTACGCGCAAACTGCCGTGCTACTCTTAAAGAAACTAGACATCTGATCAGCACCAAGGCTTGTGAGAACACCATACGCAAAGAACTCAAGAACTTGGTTAAGTTTCTCATGTGGCTGGCAAGAAGTCATTCTTGGACAAAAAGCAGCGGAAAGCAAGGCATATCGTTGCTAAAAACCATGAGCACTGGGCAGTAGACGACTGGAGAAAAGTAATCTGGACAGACGAGTCGAGCTTTGAAATCGGTAAGCTGTCCTCGCAACCCAGAGTATGGCGCAAGACACTGGAAAAATACAACGAAGAATGCCTGGCACCAACTTTCAAAAGTGGCAGAACTTTCATCATGGATTGGGGCGCCATAGCTGGTGGAAAGAAGTCGAAACTTGTTTTTATGAAGAAAGGCATGAGGACAAGTGCCGACTTCATAAACCAGGTCTATGACCCAGTACTACTAGATTTCTATAAAAGTCTAGATAGTCCTGTGCTCATGGAAGATGGCGCAACCATCCATAGAGCGAAAACTGCTACCGAATGGGGGAGGCAAAGGGTATAAACAAAATGTCTTGGTCGGCTCAGTCACCGGGTTTAAATCCAATTGAAAATTTGTGGAGCATAATGAAGAAGAGAGTTAATGCTGTATGCCCTTATGCCAAAAGCTAGCAAGTCGTAAAAGTTGTTTTGGAAAGTGTTTGGAGGGAGTTTATTCCAAAAGCCATCAACAAATTAATTGATCCTATGCTGAGGAGGGTCAAAGATGTAATTGAGTCTCGTAGTAGACCCACCAAATATTAGTTTCAGATGTATCTTGCTCTTAGCGCTTTATGTGTTATGAAGATGGCAACTCGAACAGATGTGGTGCGTTGCTACACTTTTTTTTTTTTTTTTTTTTGGATATATTTGACAGGCCTTGTTCAAGAAAGCTCTCTCAATGATTTCACATTGTTCTTTTACGGCTTATTACACCCCTTTTGCAACAAATATTCCTCAAATTTGAAAAGTGCCATGAACCACTCTGTTTGAATCTAATTTCAGACGAAAACCAAAGCGAATTTGGTAAATTGGAAAGCGAGCTTTAGGAGTAGAACCGCTGGACGCGTATCTTGAAATAGCTGGACCCACAGAAGACGCGTACTTGTAGTCGCATGATTGAAGAAACAACAAAGGCAGACATTTAGGTTTGCCGTTGATGTTATGATGACAAGAGATCAAAAGCTTTCGCTGAGCTTTTTGTGGAACAAATAATGCCTGCATTGGTTTATAATTTATTTCTATTGTAACTTTCGGTTTCTATAAAGCACAGACAAACAACGTTTGTCAACTTCTTTTTCGTATTGAATATCGCGTTAAATTACTTGAGTTTACAAATAAACAAATGTAGTAGTTAAAGAAAGACTATTGGTATTGCTTAGTGTATACCTTTTGGTTGGATAAAGAAACCTAAAATAAAAAGCCCTGCATGAAGCATTAATAAAAAGCAGACCAAAAAGGTAAATCAAAAGAAAGACCCCTTTACATCACGAAAATAAAAGATAGCCTTATTAAACGCGAAAGAAATTTCTTGTTCGAATTATTTCCACTACTTTTAAAAGCTCTTGTGACGGTTCTATATCTTGACTTCTCTTTCTCTCTCTTTCTCTATATATATATATCTCGTCTTGTAGATCTTCGCTTTTTTGCTATACCCCTATTCTCTCATTCTCTCTCTTTCTTTCTCCTTGAAGCAAAGCTTTGCTTTTTTAAACACAAATTATGAACAAGGAAAACAGACGCATCTATTCTCATCATCGTTCATCTCAAGGACAAGGAAAACTAGAGCCCTTAAGAGTCAATCTTCCCGTACAAAGACAGATCATCTCAACTGAAGAGCAGCCTCAACAAAGAAAAGCTTTACAACCAGCGGTAACCAATACCGATCGCGCTTCTATCAGAGTTCAGCATAGACCAGATCCAACCAAGTCTAAAAAGCGAGTTGCCTCTGAGTTAGTCGATGAACGATCAGTACCCAGCATTATTCATGATGTCAAACGAAACTTGAAATATCAAAAACATGAATGTATTGGCCTGGTAAAGGGAGAAGAGAAAGAAAAAAAAAAAAGAGTTATGCGACGCGCTTGTATATCACTAACTATTTTTTATTTTCATGTTCATGTTTCTAAAGGGAGGCTTTGCAAAGGTTTTTAGAGTTACGAATGAACATGGAAAGGAATATGCAGCCAAAGTGATAGCAAAGGCATCTTTATCGGATAAAAAGCGTAAAGAAAAGCTTTTAGCAGAGATCAATATTCATCGATCGTTGCTTCATGAATATATCGTACAGTATCACAGCTGCTTTGAAGATAAATCATATGTATATATCATTACGGAATACTGTCAAAATGAAGTAAGTTCCTTGTTGTCATAATGATATGTGTATACTTACATATCAAAGACGTTGAATGCAATGTTGGTTAGGAGAAGAAAGCTAACAGAAGACGAAGTTCGTTATACTATGGGACAGATATTATCAGCAGTGCGATACATATCCGACAACCGCATTGTGCATCGAGATATCAAGCTTGGCAATGTGTTTTTAGATAAAAACATGAACTGTAAGTTGGGGGATTTTGGTCTTTCAGCTCGTCTGGTGAATGAATTTGATCGTAGAAAGTAAGAGATATAACACCTATTTATTAAGTTACTGGTCTTTAATCAGATGAATAGAACAACTTGTGGTACACCTCACTACATTGCGCCGGAGATCCTTTTTGATTCCACTGGCCATAATCATAGAGCTGATATGTGGTCTGCTGGAGTCTTGATGTACACTCTTTTATTTGGAAAGCATCCATTTCATCACGATGAGCGTAGAAAACTATATCAGTAAGTGGTATATAATTGTACCTTTGTTGATTTAATGATTGTATTGTATAGAATCGTAAAACAGAACAAGGATAGTAATACATTTAGCTTTCCTGCAGAAGATTTTCATGTCTCAGCAGATGCCAAAAACTTGATTTCTTCATTATTAGTGAATAATCCCGGTAAGGAGCTAGCTACTTGATGTATTAACCTACTTACTTAATAAAAACACAGATCTTCGACTTACTGTCACGCAAGCCCTGAAGCATCCTTTCTTTTTGTCGCACAAGATTCCTGAGAATTTACCAAGAGATGCTCTATTTAAGCAGCCTTCTCACAAAAGTTTATATCCGAGCGAATACAACAACACATCTTCACAATCTAAAGTGGCTGATTCTATACGACATGCCGCAAATGAAAATGAAAGTTATGTTGATCAAAGTATACAACCACCCTTAGAATTACTTGAAGGTACGATACACGACATAAAAGAGGAAAACAGTGCTAATGTCATAAAACAGAGGTTGTCCTGGATCATCGTACACATTTCCCTATTAAGCAAACACTATCTCATACTTCGCGTATGGTTATACCCAAACCCAATATACCCAGTGCGTCGCTGAAAAGGTTTGGAAGTTGCAAAAAAAGGGAAAAAGAAAATAAAAGGGTATGATGACTAACATTAAATAGGAAATATAGTAACATGGACAAGGCTGTTTCATCATCTGCAGCTAAAAGGATCAATACTCTTAATAGTAATACGAATGGCACCAATTCTGTTGCTGTTATCGCACGACAAGATATACCGATCCATGATGCTACAGCGCATATGGATACGACAAAAGATAGTTCAACAAAGCGTGCAAATGCCCCTGCTACTACAACAAAGAATATTACAGAGCCAGCAATAGAACAGATATCAAAGCAGAGTAAAGGTAACAATTAAAAAAAAGAAGGTGTTGGGTTTCACTAATGAATCAAAAGCACAAACAGGTCGAAAACCAATTATAGAGGAAATGGCTGAGAAATTGAAAATTATGATTGAAAGAAAAGAGATAAGGCCTGTTCCTAATAATAATGAGATTGAGAATTATAAGGAAGGAAAACTTGAATGGAACAGAGGAAATGTATTTATCAAAAGCTGGCTAGACGGATCAAAAAGATATGGCTTTTGTTATTGTTTGAGTGATGACACTTTGGGCGCTTTGTATAATGACGGCTCAACCTTAACTACACATGATGAAAAGTAAATTTAGTCATATTTATAAAACTCTTGTAACTTATGAAATGTATAGGCACTATTATTATCTTTATCAACAGCAACACTCTACGGGCTATATTGAATCTACGTATACGCACGATCAGTTTCCTGCTAACTTAGAAAAGAAACGTCATATATTACAGCAATTCAAGTATTATAATGTAACCAACTTGGATGTAGATTATGGAACGCCCAAGGCAAGTTATCCTACAGGCACGCATGTTCTGAAGTATGCTGTGGATAAAAATGCTATATCATTTAAATTAAACAATGGTGTTGTGCAGGTATGATATTACAGGCGTAGGTTATCTTTACATATGAATGCTTATAAGATTATTTTGTTATATAGTTTAACTTTTTTAATCACAACAAGCTGATTCTGTACGATGGAGGGAGAAAACTAGTGTTTATAGATGAAAACAAAAGTCTATCACATCACCATACGATAGATGCTCTGTATTCAGATAATCAGTCTCTCATTGAGTGTATTAAGAGCGGATATCAAATAATAAAGGCACAGAATGAGATACGTCTGGAAGTACTACGAAATGAGAGATGGAAAAGGTATAAAAAGCTTAACACAGTACCTTTACGATAAAAATCAAAAGAAATATCGAGACTGGCAGTATTCAAGAAAGCAGATGGCTACTTTTAAATTATTTATCAACGAATAAATCCTAATACACACAAAGAAAAAAGTACAGTGTATATAAGAATGCTGACTATGTTGTCTCTGCACTTTATTTGAGTCTTTTTAAGTTTATTCATTTAGTGTGTGTTCGACAAAAGATAAACCCTTACAAGATTTCCTTGTATGGCATATCTTAGGTAAGCAAAGAATAAAGCTTACAGCCAATAGATGTGCGTGTTTATTTAAACCACGCCTTATCATGATTACAAGTGCCGCGATAGTCTCCATAAAGGCTTTGAACTAAAAAATTCAGTAGTTGTTATATTGTGTTAAAACCCTGACTGTGCGTTAGCGTCAAGCAAAAAAGCCCTAGAGATTAGAGATGACCTTTCTGCACTAACCATCGATCTTTCTGATCTATGTTCACTGCTCTTTCAGGAGACATTTCCTGAGTTATCTGCCAAAATCAGTCAAACTAACACTGAGTTTATAAACAAGAGCGTATTCTTGCTAAATGAAAGAAAATACTGGGAAATTGAACATGATGCCATTAATCGGGGGCAAGTCATAGACATTTGAAGAGAAAGGCTGCTAAATTTCTTTAATTAAATTCGGTCGTGGCTTCTTAATTGCGATGACAATTTAACGTTCCCGCCATGATTACACTTATGCTGCACGATCTGATTGGAAGATAACTGTTTTTGTTTCAGCTCCATACCAATATGGAGTATCATCTCGAGGCAAAAGGGAGCCACACAAGTCGAAATATTTGCAGTGATAAATCAGCTTGAAGAGTATATTTAGACAGATAAAGAGGAGAAAATTGAGATAGGCAAATTATGAATAGGGAAGCTATTATCTGCAATTCAGTTTAGAGTGTTTTTTCTTTTTGGAATGGAGAATGGTATGATAGCTGGTAAATGGATGATACATTATAGTTATTTACTTGCGCCATAGCTAATGTAGTACCATTATTTGCTTCCAAAATTAATGCTTCGTACAAAAGAAGAAGGTGTATAACTTATTGTGAATTTAAATAACTAATCGACATAATATCGATAGGCAGATCTAGCAAAAAAGAAAAAGAAAAAAAAAAAACACTTACATGAGTCCCTTTCATAGTTTGCAATGTTTATTAGAAAGTAAGACACAATGAGGTCGATTTGTGAATATTGGTTGGCATAATTTATGCTATATATGATGAGCTACTTCAGTTACGTAAAAATGATCAGCTAATTGTGGTCGGCCAATCCAAGTTTGGAGTAAATGTGATCCCAAGGTCCAGGAATGTCCTGTAAGACGTGCAAGAATGGTCATACAACTATATAAATAACTTTATCGAGCGTGCACTACATAGGATGTACCACAAGAAAGGCATATCCCAATAGAGCAATCGATGGTGCAATCCTTCAATGTTATTGTGCACTTTGCGTAATGATGAATGTGGGAACTAACTGTGAGAACCGAATGTGAGAAAGGTGCTTGCTTAGATTAAAATAAGCTACATGTGTGTGTGCGTGTGTGTCCGTATGAACTATATTAAGGCTCTTATGATTATTGTCATGGGAACGCGCTGCTATGATATGCATATCTGTTACTGCCTAGACAACACTGTCGCTCTTTCTATAAACCAGCATTTCTTTTTGTCTTTCTAAAGCGACGAACTTTATTGGATCATTCGATTGAGCAATCATATGCCTCTAGTTTTGTAATCGCATTCCTTTTTAAGATACGTCAAACTGCGGTTTAATATGTGGTGATGCCTTTGACGAATAAGATATCTTGTAGCTGACACCATCCGTAGGGTGAACCAATAGATTTAATGTGCTACTATATCTAATACTATAGAAACTTTAATATAATCCTCACCACACAAAAGTGGCAAGGTATTTAGTAAGGCCCTTGGTCTAAAAGAATGAATACATGATGATAAATAGGGCTTGAATGATATCTGATGACATTTTTATAATGTATCTTGCCAAAGATAAGCAAGGTCATAAGAGAAAAACTTTTTCTACTGGAAGCTTCGGAGATCAATCAGTTGCTATGAAATTAAAATGGCTAGATCTCTTTTTTATGAACTCGATCATATATAAAGGCCCTCTAATTGCTGCGATCGAAGAGGTTCTTTTCTCTATCTTACAAAATCCGGGTCTCTGGCCACAACATCAGTCTTTCGATAATTCTCTCCCTTTTTAACTTTAAAAAGGCAACCCACATATATCAATTCTCTTTAATTAATAAATATGGACAACGAAAAAGTTCAAGTAGTCAGCGAAACAACCACTATCGAACATGTCGATACTTACAAATCTGAACAATCCACCACAGAAAAGCGTCACTCTTTAAAGCGTGGGCTTAAGGCTCGCCATATCCAAATGATTGCTTTGGGCGGTACAATCGGTACCGGTCTCTTCATGGCTTCTGGTAAAGCTATCGTAAATGGCGGCCCTGGTGGTGCTATTGTTGCTTATGGTCTTGTTGGTATTCTTGTCTATTGTGTTATGATGAGCTTAGGTGAAATGGCTGCTTTAATTCCTGTTGCTGGCTCCTTCTCTCATTTTGCTACTCGTTTTGTTGACCCTTCCTTGGGGTTCTGCGTCGGTTGGATTTACTGGGCCAATTGGGCCGTCGGTGTCGCTGTAGAGCTTACCGGTGTTGCCATGATCATGGAATATTGGGTCAAATCTGTCAACAGTGTCATCTGGAGTGTTATCTGTCTTGCTATTCTCGTCGCTATCAATGTCTTTTCTGTAAAAGGCTATGGTGAAGTCGAATACTGGATGTCATTTATCAAAATTTTGATCGTCGTTATTTTCATCATCGTTGGTCTCTGTGTTGATACAGGAGCTGTTGGTGGTGTTTATATTGGTGTCTCAAACTTCCATTTGCCTGGTGGCGCCTTCCCTCATGGTTTCCTCGGTGTATTCAATGTATTCATTACCGCTGCCTTCTCTTTCAATGGTGTTGAAATCGCTGGTATCACTGCTGGTGAATCTGCCAATCCTCACAAGACTGTCCCAGCTGCTGTCAAGCAAGTGTTTATCCGTATTGTCTTGTTCTATGTCCTTTCCATCTTGGTTATTGGTCTTGTAATCCCTTACACTAACACTCAACTCTTGAACGGCTCCAAAGACATCTCTGTCTCTCCATTCACTCTTGTCTTTGAAAAAGCTGGTGCCGCCTGGGCAGCTGATTTGATGAATGCAATCATTTTGATCACCATGGTCTCTGCTGGTAATTCAGGTGTCTACTCCTCCTCGCGTACTTTACTCTCCTTAGCTGAAGATGGATATGCTCCTCGATTCTTTACACGTGTCAACCGCTTCGGTATCCCTATCTGGTCTGTCTTGGCTACCTGCTCAATTGGCTGTCTTGCTTTTCTGACCTCTCTTTTCGGATCCGGTGTTGTTTTCACCTGGTTAACTTGCTTAACTTCACTTGCTGGTTTGATTACTTGGGTTTCCATCTGCATCACCCATATTCGTTTCCGCTTAGGCTACTTGGCTCAAGGACGTTCGCTTACAGCACTTCCTTACGTTGCTCCTTTATTCCCAATCTGTGATATTATTGTCATCGTCATTGGTACAATCATCATTTTTGGTCAAGGTTATGCGACTTTCATCGCTCCTATTCAAGCCTCTAATGTTATTTCCAGTTACATTGGTTTAATCCTTGCTGTTGTTCTCTATGTCGGACACAAGTTATGGAAACGCCAAGGTTTCGTCAAATACGCCGACATGGACTTTGAAACAGGTACTATTCAAGACACTGTCCTTGATATTCGCAAGGATGAAGGATTAGATGAAAATGGCAATCCTCTTCCTTTGTGGAAACGTATTTGGAACAAGTTTATAGATATCGTTGCTTAAATTTTGTAAATAATGTTTTCAACAACATATGCAACAAAATTCATGTATATAGTAATATTTAGTTTTTAATATCAAAATTACATTCTTATATATATAACTCATAATAAAATCATCCTTTCAACAAGAACCCAAAAAAGTGTATCCTGTGTTGAGCCATTTCGGGGTTTATCAGTAAACTCGACCTTTTTTTCTTTTTTTGCTGATAAACTGAGCCTTACAATCATACAAGGTAAAGAGCTGCATGATGAATAGTCTTGTTGACCAGACAGTACTATGACTAGTCTAATTTAATTTTTAGACATGCAAAGCTTTGTATGCACACATGATGTATTTAATATCTTCGTCATCTTTTATTATCAGAAAAAAGAAGTGATCTGGTAATACCTCCGTAAAAGACGCTGCTCAGCATCAAGTAAAAAAATTTCATTTGCTTATATAAAAAGAAGTAACACCAGAGGAACAATTGTTAGTTAGTATAAAAACTGTTCTTTTTCACGGTAAAATACATTTCTCCTAGAATCACTCTAGACGAGGCTTTATAAACAATAAAACCTTACGTTCTTTAACGTATTCAATTACCTATCAAAGCTCTCTTACAAATTATATTTATACCATTCATGACAACTACGAGACAAGCGAGACCACTGGGATTGCTGGAAAAATATCAATTGTCCAAACATTTGCTCAATGCTTACGGCAGTGTTGTCTTTTCAGCTGAACTGGAACATCCAATAAGAGAAGTTCAAGAGGACATGAAGCAGTTTTACGTAGCTTGGTTCTTGCCTGCACTAAAAAAACTAATCGAGAAGCATTCAGCACTCAGTTTAGTCGTGCGAGATGCATACACAAGTAATCCTCGCTTAGAGATCCTGAATAGCATTAATTTGTCTGATGTTTTGGAAATATCATTTGAAGACTCAACCATTGAAAAGCTTACTCAGGAACAGTGCTCAAGAGATTTTGATCTGAACGCGCTCACTCCACTCTGGCAACTAAAGGTTGTACCTCTGAGTCAGAGTCGCTGTTTAGCAGCACTTGCATTGAATCATATCATTGGCGACGGCAATAGTCTCCGTGTGTTTTGGATGGAACTCTTGGAAGCGTTGGAGTCACATGATCAGGGCAAGGGCGTAAATAATCAGATTATACAAACGCCAGAACATTTGGAAGCGCCTTTGACTCTTGAATCATGTGGCCTACCTTCTCCATCAGTTTTAACAGACGCCTTGCCTGTTTTAGCCAAAGGTTACCTCGAATCTGTGTCTCATACTCTACTCGGAGATACCGAATGGAGAGGCGATTTCCCTGCTGTCGATGGAGAAGCACACAACACAGAAATCAAGATGAACAAGATAAGCCGAGAAAAGTGGAAAAAGATACTAGCAGAAGCCAAGAAGCGTCAAATATCTGGTCATGCCATTCTTCAAACTCTTCATGCCTTGGTATGGGCTACTCTTTATTCTGATTCTAAATGGACTACCATATGCATGCATACACCCATTAATTGTCGTCCCTTATGTGACCCGCCTATTCCTCAAACACAAATGGGAAATTTTGTAGGCTCCTATGAAAGTCAATGGTCATTAAAGCATCTTGGACGAGCGATTGCAGTCGATGACGATAAGCTGGTTTGGTCAATGGCAAAGAAATACTATGATAATTTACAAAAGAACAAGATGAATTCAGTCAAACTTTCATTACTGCTAAGCTATTTACCAGAGTTCCCTACATCCTATTGTGATTTCTGGACATCAAAACGGAAATATGCCATGAAGAGAAAAGGAGGAATTGAACATTCAGACTTGGGTAAAATGGAATGGACAGGCACACGTTGGAGATTAGTATCAATGTATTTCTGTCAGAGTGCTCATACATATAGTTGTGCTCTTGAGATACAGTCTATATGCTTAAATGGTGAATTATATTATACCCTTTCCTGGCAAAAGAATGCATTGGATAAAGATAAAATAGATGCATTTAATAGAGTGCTTGATCACTTGGTGGACAAGATAGCAAAATAAGTACAAATAAATAGGGAATAACCATCTATGTGTGTGATACACTTCTTTGATTTCTTTATTTGGTGTTTGTGTGTTGTTAAAAATTGGGTTACTTTTTTTATTCTTTTTCTCTTCTCTCTTCTCTCTCTCATCTCTTTATTTTTTAAATTCTCCTCCTTTTTTTATAAACAATGCAGACCATTAAATGTGTTGTTGTTGGTGATGGTGCAGTTGGTAAAGTAAGTCTTAAATGTTGTCATGTTGTTCATTTTAGGATAATCAACACTATATATATATATACATTATAGACTTGTCTTTTGATTTCATACACAACCAACAAATTCCCTTCTGAATATGTTCCCACTGTAAAATGCAGCAATTTAAAAAAGTACATTTCAGTTCAGCTCACGCTCTATTTTGTATATACATGTGTGTGTATATGTATGTATGTATATACTTAGGTATTTGATAATTATGCTGTCACTGTTATGATTGGAGAAGAACCTTATACACTAGGCTTGTTTGATACTGCAGGTGAAAACAGAATATATGATAAAAAGAAATAATGACTCATATGTATTGAATAGGTCAAGAGGATTATGATCGCCTTCGTCCACTTTCTTATCCTCAAACGGATGTATTCCTCGTTTGTTTTTCAGTTACTTCACCTGCTTCCTTTGAAAACGTAAAAGAAAAATGGTTTCCCGAAGTTCACCACCATTGTCCTGGTGTACCTTGTCTGATTGTGGGTACACAAATTGATTTGCGTCAGGATCCTGCTGTATTAGAAAAGTTGAATAGACAAAAGCAGAGACCTATACCTTTTGAAGCAGGCGAAAGATTGGCTCGTGAATTGGGTGCAGTTAAATATGTTGAGTGTTCAGCATTAACACAAAAGGGTTTAAAAAACGTATTCGATGAAGCTATCGTTGCTGCATTAGAGCCTCCTGTAAAGAAGAAATCAAAGAAATGTACTATTTTATAAATAAAACAGTACTCTTATATCTTTTACTATGGTATTGCTGAAAACTCAGACAATAGTAGGCCATCTTTAGATTACAAAAGCTTTATATATCTTTACGATAGAAGAACAAGTTAAGGTGAAAAGATAAGATGGGAAAAGGGACGGAGAGAGAGAGAAGGGGAAGGAGAAAGGAAAGAAGAGAGAGAAAGAGGAGGTCTAAGGCTATGTGTCTGGGGTTTAATGATTTGTAAAGTAGATCATCAGAATTAAATCATGCCCCAGAAAAAGCAAGTGGTTTCTTTTTTTTTTTTTTTTT